ACAGCGCCATCTATGAAACACTAACGTTCTCGTATATGACACTGCAGTGTCTCATTTACCCCAGAATAATTTTTGGGACGCAAGAATATAGTGTTAGCACAGCTTAGATGACAAGCAGCTATGAAACTCTCCTGCCGCCGTCAAAAAAAACGACCGAGAATGTCAATTCGCTCAGTACAACGATGAAATTCAAATTGGTGCAGAAGTGGCAAAATTGTTAATTTTGTTTTGTTTTAGTCCTCGGATGATGGATGGCACCACCCGTTCCGTTATTCGGATTTTTGGAAGAAATTATACCAATTTCTTCAGAAAATCTAAACTTCAAATGCTTTAAAGTAGTAAACAACCATACGAGTTGATTTTGAAATAGGACAGAATAAAATAATGACTTAAAAGAGAAAACAAATTGTCGGGTACTGATGGGATCTGAACCGCTGACCAAAAAGTGTAATAGAAACTCGTGATTATTGATACGTATGCCTTGCGGCACTAGGCTACAAACACTTGTGCTCAAATTTGCGAAAATGTGATCATACTCCAAGGACCGGACTCTCCTATTATATATGTGAAAAATAATTATAATGTTGTTTAAAATTTTCACTAAAACCATCATGTTGTCTCAAAATTAAATGTGGCAGAAAATAGTATCATAGCATCGTTTTAAAGACATGTTACTGCTGTAAAACGTGAAACCGTTAAAGAGATGTCTTCGTCTGATTTCCTTCTTTTCTTCTATATAAATATATCAAACAAAAGTAAGTATAGCTGATTGTTATCTAAGCTTTGGTATTAGGTTGAATATCTTCTGGTAGAATACTTAATCAATATGTACGATAGAATAAAGCCTAACAACTTTTCAATTTATGTTTCCGGGTTTCAAAAGTTACTCTTTGCACTTAGCCAACGGAAGCTTTTCCAAATATTTATGATGTATGGATTATGAGTAACATAATTGCTTATTCTACATTGAGTTATCGGTTCTGTTTAATATTAACTGGGTTAAATACTTACTTCAAAATTCAAACTGCTTCAGCGGCTAGTTTTGAAATATTTTAATTGCTGTCAAACCACCTGTCAAACTAAAAGTGCGCAGACGACTACTGCGCAATGGCTGATATAACCTCAAACTTCATTGGTCGATTATCAATAACAATAATGTTTATCAGTTTCGCGAAACCCCTTTGTATGCTGTTCTGCTTATAGATTGCAAACTTAAAAGGTGTCATGATCAAAGAATGTCATGCTACAAAAGCAAGGCGTATAAAAACAGAAAAGCCAAATCAGCTGCGTTGGAAAAAATCAGAATGATCCTGCACTAGCATATCAGCATATCTCCTCGCGTCTCTTTTGTTTTTAATTGAAGGCAGAATATTAAGAATGGATACTGTCAAGCGAGAGGCTATCCCATGTATATATATTTTAGTTTATTTATTTTTACTCAGCTAGAATTAGGATATTAGAAAACCATCCAGATAACACAAGTATCATCTTATTTCAGGTTAGAAGTAACACGGAGAGATTCTTTCCTGGTGAATCATACAATCCATTAGGACAGGGGCGTCAAAGAAACATTGAATTGATGCAACAAAAGCATAGAGTATTTATTATACAGAGGCGACACTCTGTCGATCAGGTGCCAGCAACGCCAAATTAACACCTGTGCGATTGGTGGGATTCGTGTTGCTATGACATTTAGGATTTAGGGCTCTGAAAAAAATTGTGTTTTATCATTACTGTATATAAATAGCTTTTCAAGAAATAATAAATATTATATTAAAGCGTGTAATGTATAGACACAATCTACTTGACACTATATTTTATTTTCGCAACATTAAAGTCTCGGAAATATAATCGGTGACATTAGAAGTGCCACACCAAGAAAAAATAATTTCTTCAACTTGATTTTTTGGCAATGATGAAGAATGAATCGATTATATTCTTACGAAATTTTGTTGACAAGTAATAAGAAAAAAATTAATAATGTCATTGTATCGTCACTCGACGAAGTTTGCTGGTGCGTAAATCCGTTTGAAATTTGAAGTAAGTATAGAACGCACATAAAATTAGACAGAATGAGCATATAGCAACAGCGCCATCTAGGAAACACGTATATGACACTGCAGTATCTCATTTACCCTAGAATAATTTTTGGGACGCAAGAATATAGTGTTAGCACAGCTTAGATGACAAGCAGCTATGAAACTCTCCTGCCGCCGTCAAAAAAAACGACCGAGAATGTCGAATGTCAATTCGCTCAGTACAACGATGAAATTCAAATTGGTGCAGAAGTGGCAAAATTGTTAATTTTGTTTTGTTTTAGTCCTCGGATGATGGATGGCACCACCCATTCCGTTATTCGGATTTTTGGAAGAAATTATACCAATTTCTTCAGAAAATCTAAACTTCGAATGCTATAAACTAGTAAACAACTATACGAGTTGATTTTGAAATAGGATAGAATAAAATAATGACTTAAAAGAGAAAACAAATTGTCGGGTACTGATGGGATCTGAACCGCTGACCAAAAAGTGCAATAGAAACTTGTGATTATTGATACGTACGCCTTGCGGCACTAGGCTACAAAAACTTATGCTCAAATTTGCGAAAATGTCATCATACTCCAAGGACCGGACGCTCCTATGATTTATGTGACAAAGAATTATAATGTTTTTTAAAATTTTCACTAAAACCATCATGTTGTCTCAAAATGAAATGTAGCAGCCAATAGTATCATAGCATCATTTTAAAGAAATGTTACTGCTGTAAAATGTGAAGCCGTTAAAGAGATGTCTTCGTCTGATTTACTTCATTTCTCCTATATAAATATATCAAACAAAAGTAAGTATAGCTGATTGTTATCTAAGCTTTGGTATTAGGTTGAATATCTTCTGGTAGAATACTTAATCAATATGTACGATAGAATAAAGCCTAACAACTTTTCAATTTATGTTTCCTGGTTTCAAAAGTTACTCTTTGCACTTAGCCAACGGAAGCTTTTCCAAATATTTATGATGTATGGATTATGAGTAACATAATTGCTTATTCTACATTGAGTTATCGGTTCTGTTTAATATTAACTGGGTTAAATACTTACTTCAAAATTCAAACTGCTTCAGCGGCTAGTTTTGAAATATTTTAATTGCTGTCAAACCACCTGTCAAACTAAAAGTGCGCAGACGACTACTGCGCAATGGCTGATATAACCTCAAACTTCATTGGTCGATTATCAATAACAATAATGTTTATCAGTTTCGCGAAACCCCTTTGTATGCTGTTCTGCTTATAGATTGCAAACTTAAAAGGTGTCATGATCAAAGAATGTCATGCTACAAAAGCAAGGAGTATAAAAACAGAAAAGCCAAATAAGCTGCGTTGGAAAAAATCAGAATGATCCTGCACTAGCATATCAGCATATCTCCTCGCGTCTCTTTTGTTTTTAATTGAAGGCAGAATATTAAGAATTGATACTGTCAAGCGAGAGGCTATCCCATGTATATATATTTTAGTTTATTTATTTTTACTCAGCTAGAATTAGGATATTAGAAAACCATCCAGATAACACAAGTATCATCTTATTTCAGGTTAGAAGTAACACGGAGAGATTCTTTCCTGGTGAATCATACAATCCATTAGGACAGGGGCATCAAAGAAACATTGAATTGATGCAACAAAAGCATAGAGTATTTATTATACAGAGGCGACACTCTGTCGATCAGGTGCCAGCAACGCCAAATTAACTCCTATGTGTTTGGTGGGATTCGTGTTGCTATGACATTTAGGATTTAGGGCTCTGAAAAAAATTGTGTTTTATCATTACTGTATATAAATAGCTTTTCAAGAAATAATAAATATTATATTAAAGCGTGTAATGTATAGACACAATCTACTTGACACTATATTTTATTTTCGCAACATTAAAGTCTCGGAAATATAATCGGTGACATTAGAAGTGCCACACCAAGAAAAAATAATTTCCTCAACTTGATTTTTTGGCAATGAGGTAGGTAGTCTTACATCAAGAATGCATCGATTATATTCTTACGAAATTTTGTTGACAAGTAATGAGAAAAAAATTAATAATGTCATTGTACCGTCACTCGACGAAGTTTGCTGGTGCGTAAATTCCTTTTGAAATTTGAAGTAAGTATAGAACGCACATAAAATTAAACAGAATCGATAACACAATGTAGAATGGTATTCATAATCCATACATCTTGAATAAGTGTACCTTTCCAAACCAGAAAACATATATTGAAAAGTCTACCACAAGATAGGCATCGTAATACCACAGCTTAGACAACAATCAGCTATACTTATTTACTTTTTTTTTGGTATATTTATGTTTTAAATAAACATGAACATTTCTTCAAAATGATCTATGAATTAGCTCCCACATTTCAGGTTTCAATGATAGTTTGTACGAAACATTCTTTTTTCATATAAATCATCATAGGAGAGTCTGGTGCTTGATATATGATGACATTTTCGCAAATTTCATCATCAGTGTTTCTAGCCTGGCGTTGCGAGGCGTGCGAACCATCGATCACGCATTTTAATTGCACTTTTGTCAGCGGTTCAAATCCCATCCGTACCCGACATTTTTTTTTTAATATTCTATTCTGACCCATTGCAAAATCAACTCGTATGAATATTTATTAGTTTAAGGCATTTGATGTTTAGATTTTTTGAAAAATATGGTATAATTCGTTCTACAAAACCGAATAACGTAACAGGTGGCGCCATCCATCATACAAGGTTTAAAACTGGTTTTTGTTAGGTTGGTCTGTATGTATGTAACCGTATCTTTGAGCATAATTTTCACCAATTTCCAGAAGTTTGATTAATCTGAAACTTCGCACACGTATCAAGAACCCATAACAATGCAATGATTTGATAACAGTTTTCCATTATCCTTATAAGTAATATTCTGTAACAAGCAGATATATGTTAATAAAAAGTCACGGAATTTAAATGCCGCTTTATGAATGTTGGAACTATGAGCCTCTGTAGCTCAGTGGCAGAGCGCTTGTCTTGTGAGCCAGAGGTCATAAGTTCAATCCTCATAGGAGGCGGGTGGTAGAATATGTTTTTATAATTTTTTTCAACACATTTATTCGCTTGGCCTGTATTTTTGAACATAATGTTCACCAATTTTCAGAAGTTTAATTAAACTCTTTGTAATTTTCTACTTTTTAGTTTGGTTAGCTATAAAAGCGTAGTTCTTTTAAATTATTATTTATTTAATAAATCCGAATGGTGTATTAGTGGCGCCGCCCATTATCCAAAGGCTAAACCTGGTTAGAATATTTGATTTACAATAGATGGCGCCAATTGTCATGGCTTTTGGATAATATTTGGATTTTGCTATTATGCGGTATTTTGCCACTTTTGCACCAATTTGAATGTTATTTAATATAAAATCATAATTATGAATGCAAAGTATTAAATTACGTTTTAACGATTCTGTATTTATGCTTACAATAGACATTCTACGCCGAAATGGCGGTCGTTTTTGACATTGACAGGAGAGTTTCATAGCTGATTGTTATCTAAGCGGTGCTATATTCGCGCGTCGCAAAAATTATTCAGGGTTAAATGAGATACTGTTGCGTCATGTACGAGAAGGTTAGTGTTTCGTAGATGGCGCTGTCGCTATATGATCATATACAGTTGGTTACAGCGCCATCTATGAGACTAGCTTTTTCAAAGTAGACCTCTAGAGGAGACAAACAGCTGTGATAAATTATAGATGACGCTACAGTATCTATCTTTTTTGTATACGATTAAGATGGGAGCCGAAGTCAGGCATGGAGGAGAGCATTGAGGAAATTGATAAAATGAGTTGATGCCACCAGAAATAAACGATTCCTCTGTAGAACTCGTATATTCATCGAAACTGAATGAGCGTTAGGGCGCTTCTTATTAACCAAGGTACAGTACTGTGTTCTGGAAGCATTAAGCAGTGATAACCTCCAGGTTAACTGAGATAATTTTTCGGACGCGCGAATATATTATTAGGTTAGGTTAATAGGTCCGTTAATTTAGTTATTTTTCTAGAAATGACCTACATACGAGGCCGAGAAGTCGTTCTGGAATGGGAAGATTACCTCGTGATCATCTTCACCGCTTTGGTCCTCACGCTATGGACAATGCCGCTGTTACGCTACTTCTTCTCAAACTAAGTGCTGAGCTACTATTTCAGTTGTTGTCTGTAGATGATAATGATTGTTGTGACAATGAATTCTGTATAAATTGTCTTAAAGGTTCTGTTTCGTTAATTTTATGCTGAAGGTAAAATCTAAGAACTGAGCTACTACGAACTCTAAAAAGCAGAGCCGTCCTTGACAGATGTGACGCCTTTTTTTAAAGAAAGTGGTCTACTCCCAAAAAATTTCAAAATGATCGTCCAAAAAAGTGTTTCTAGCATTTCTATCTCTAGCCGCAAGATATCCGTCGTAAGTGACGGATTCTCCTCTTCATCCCACAACGTCAACGCGGGTGTTCCCCAGGGATCGGTCTTGGCTCCAACACTGTTTCTCTTACATATCAATAACCTTCTTTCCTGCACGATCATCCCAATCCCCAGCTTCGCTGATGACAGCACTCTACATGCAGGAATACAGAGTGACAAGCCGATCTCTGCCGCGCGACTGCTTCATTATATAAAAAAGTCTTTTCATCTCAAAACACGCCAATTATTCACGGGATTTCTTTCATTTGCCATTGCAGCATCACAAATGAAGAGGTTGAGGCTGTGACTATTATGTATGTATCGAAGAAAGAGACTACACCAAAGCAGTAATCATCGTGTGATTATTGCGTGATCAGTACACTGATATATTTCAAGAGAGAGAGGGAGAATAACTGTTATTGGGCAGAATAGGTCGAGCCCTTACGCAAAACCAATGACAAACCAGAGGGTGGAGTGGGAGACGATACGACCGTGCATGCACGCTGTCGCGGTGGCTGGCCGTACGGTACAGAGTTGGCATTAGATTTATACTGGTATTACTGTGTGCTTATTAGATTTGTCAGTTTAATTTCGTAGAACTCAAAATGTCTGATACGCGTCAGCTGATGAAGTTGGTGATATAAGCTGCACACCGTCTAAAAAGAGAGCTAAAAGGCTTCATTTTAGCGTTAGCGCAAAACAAATGATTATCAACATTTATAAATACGAAATACAAGGAAGGAGTGACTCAAGTGTTCAGGACATTGTTTGCAAAGCTGACACATACATATTTTTCAATACTTGTAAGACGAGGAATTCCAACTAAAATTATATTTTATTTTTGTTTTGGTAGATGCTTAAACTATATCGTGATAAGAAATAAAGTATTAATTTTATTGGATTTTTAATGCTTTCAATAGGAGCGGTTTTAAAGTGTCCAAAATAAATTATTTTTAGGAAAATGTAAGCGATGGATAATTTGCCCCATCGGCAATGAATATGGATTTGTGTCCGATGCTTTATGGGCATTTGAATCCAAAAAACGGGAGAGTACCATGAATAAATGGATGAAACCTCGTTCGAAAATTACTTCTCAAATACCCTACCGAAGCTTGAAGATAATTCGGTTATAGTATTAGATAATGCTTCATTCCACACGAGAAAATGAGAGGAAATTCCAACGCCAACGAAAAAATCAGAAATTCAAGGATGGCTTAAAAATAAAAAGATTGATTATGATGATACAACGGTCAGGGCAGAATTGTTAAAAATTGTCAAGACGCATAAAAATAAATATAACCCGAACATAATTGATGAAATGGTTAAAAAACAAAATAAAACTGTTTTACGACTGCCTCCTTACTATTGTGAGCTCAATCCGATTGAGCTCATTTGAGCGGACATAAAAAATATGTTGCAGCAGAAAATAAATGTTTTGAATTTTCTGACCTTAAAAATATTTTTCATGATGCTATACAAAGAGTAACACCGAATAAGTGGGAAAATGTATCAGCATGTAAAAGTAAAGGTCGAACCTAAAATGTGAAAATCAGACGGTATCATGGATACTCACGTTACCCCTTCAATAATAAATCTTGATGACAGTGGAAGTTCCACGGCCTCAGATCTAGAATGATTTTCATTTTCAAATATATGTAATTCCGGTTTTAGAGGTAAAATGTGCAATAAATGTTTGTATAATATCTAGTATATATTATTATGTATTCAAATCCTTTTTCTTTCAACTCCACCTAACTATTCATTTTTTAGTCTAATGTTAAAATAACTGCACACTAACGTCCCTGTTCAAGCGGTGGTTAGGTATACTTGTATGCATATGCAATTATCGTTTTCATGTGTCAAGACATTTTTTAAAAGCCTGCTTTATAAATGCGCCTCACGACACATTTAGAGTGTAATTTCTTGATAAAACACTTCCACTCAAAAAACAATAGACAGTTGTTTTCTTTTTGGTCATGACAGTTAAATTAATTAAAAATACATTAATTCCAACCTTTACGTTTGGACCCTATACATGCCTACAATAATTTTGCATACTTTTTGATTGTATCGCAGAACCACAAATCATTTATTCTTAGTACGGCCCTGTAACGTGCTCGGCATTCTGGAGCGCGATCACGTGCAGTATACGTGAATACCAGGTTGGTCGAGTCAAAGTGAAAGTCCTTCTGCATGCAACAGTGTTTCTAAAGCAGTCTAAAGTATAGATTAAGTTTAACAAGGGACCAAGTACGGATCCTTGTGGAACGCCAGAACCAACATCAGCACTAGCAGAAGCTCCTTGGCTTGTTCTTACCCGTTGCTTGCGATTGTCTAAATAGGATTTTAAAAAACAAATATCAACATCGTTGATGTTTCCATTTCAAAGTTCAATCGCTAGATATTGTATGACAACCTGTTGGATCGGTTTTCCTGACAACCTTTTTAGAACATACTGTATAAAATGGCATCGACGATGAAATATAGCATAGGTATTAGACCTCTGACAGGTATTCTTGGTAATTATCTATTTCTGTCTTCATTAAGTTTTGTTTCATGGAACGCCCCGCAATTTGTGTAAAAGAGTGATTCCTATAGCTTCGTGTTAGATGTATTACCTAATTATCATTATCGACTAATCGCTTCTTTAAAATTAGCTGCCCATAACTCACTATTATTTATCCTTCACATTAATAGTAGTGTAAGCAATTTTAAACAAAGAGTTTTCCGGGCGATTCCTAACAGATATCAGGGTGAATTCAAGCATATTTTCTTCTAACCATTACGCTTTAAAATCTTGCAAGTAAAGCCCATTACAGCTAAGATTTATATCAAAGTGTTTGTCTCTCTTTCCGTACATACGATTGTTTGTTTTTTATACCGAAGTAGCCGGTTAGGCCTAAACACCAGGGCACCGCGACTGCTATGAGATTAGAGAAACTTTGTTAATCCGATAACGTTTCACAGTCTCGATAGCCCAGGGACAAAGGAGCGGTCGTATTAGATAGTTCTGGATGTACGAAGTTTACACGGTTAGGATGAGAGGCGGGTATGTACACATCGCATGGAAGAGAGCTCTGAGGAGTAAAGCATGTTGGCATAGCAGTAGACGAGAGCTAAATTGCCTACGGCTTGTCGTTGCGAGAAGGTTCCGAGACTTTTTGTCAGTCATACTACTGTGCATCTTCAAGCAGTGAGAACCTCCAGGTCTAGCGCCAGAAAGGAAGTCGCTGCTAGTCCTTTTCTCCATCCATTTTATACTCCAACTACCACGAAGGCCTAAGGCCTAAGCACCCATTGGGTACCGTGGGGCTATAGGGGGATACATGGGAAAGGAGGAACGCCACGCGGACTCTGGCGAGGGAACACGTGTGCATGCAACATGCACACATTCTGGCTCCGCCTACGAGATCCGCCGGGTGGTACCTCCGCGTTCGACAGTCAGAGACCGTCTACCACCTACGGACAATCACAACATCCATAGCCAAGAGAAAAATTTCTCCTGGGACGGGACTCCAACCCTTACAGCGCACGGCGGCTGATCAGGAGACCGAAGAGTCTACTACTGCGGCCACCGCTGCTGCCAATAATAATAATAATATTTATTTTTACCTTCGCGGCTGTTTCAGTATAAAATTAAAGAAAAAGAACCTTTAAGACAATTTATTCAGGATTCATTGTCACAACAATCATTATCATGTACAGATAACAACGGAAATAGTAGCTCAGCACTTAGCGTGATGAATAGTAGCGTAACGCCGCCATTAGCCATAGCCAGAGCAGCAAAGTGATGTAGAAGACTACGACGTCCTCTTCCCACTGCAGAACGACTCGTTGGTTTCGTATGTACTCCATTTCTAGAAAAATTGACCAAATTAACGAACCTATCGATAGGAAACTGTTCTCTTTGGAATATATACTAAGAATAAGCGATGATTAACGTACTCTACCTGAAGACAGCCAACCTACTACTATATTCGCGCATCCGATAAATTATCTGAATTAACCTGGAGTTATCACTGCTTGGGGAGGGTACAATCTGGTACCGCTTAATGCTTTCAGAGTCCGGTACTGTACCTTGACTAATGAAAAAGCCCTAGTGCAAGGAGGCATTTATTTCGGGTGGCCGGGGCTTACATCACCGAGGACTTGATCTGTCATCAACACATTTTATCAATAGCGGCAACAGTTGAGAAAAAGCTAGGCTATTCTCTCTTCTACCAATTTGCTTTGCTCCTCAATGCTTTTAACCCTATCAAACTTCGGTATACAAAAAAGGTAGATACTGTAGCGTCATCTATAAGAATTTGTTACAACTATCTAACTCCTCTAGAGGTCTGCTTTGAGGTTAGTCTCATAGATGGCGCTGTAAACACTAACCTTTTCAAAGTAGCCTTCGGGAGAAGCTTAGCTGTGACAGCATCTCATTTAATCCCGAATAACTTTTGGGACGCGCGAATATAGTGTTAGGTTGACTATCTTCAGGTGGAATACGTTAATCAATACTAGAACATAATGCCGCACAAGAGAATAAGACATAACAACGTTTCAATATATGTTTTCTGGTTTGAAAAGTTGCACATTGCACTTAATCAATGAAAGCTCTTCCAAATATTCAAGATGTTTGGATTATGAGTACCATAAATGCTTATTCTACATTGTGTTATCGGTTCTGTTTAATTTTAAGTGGGTTCTATACTTACTTCAAATTTCCAAAGGATTTACGCACCAGCAAACTTTGTCGACTTGAAGGTTTGACGACTTGTCAGTTTGACGTTCACTGTGCATCATCTATACAGAGTGTTAAATGTTGGTAGTACAAATGCTTTCTAGACTGACATTGTATGCAGCATCTGTACCGAAGTTGTGATTAAGGCAAGACCTTAATATCAATGTACCGTAAATACTAGAAGTTTTTATTGACGAATCTTTAAGGGGCAGTTCAGAGGGGTAATATTGGTGTTAGAAAAACTATGAATTTCAGGCCAACAAGTTGGGCACTGAAAGCTAATGATCTAAGTGACAGCATACAGGTTTTGAGAATAACGTTTGTTTTCATTAAGTACAAGGGCCATACAAAAGCCGTATCGTAATGGAGTCAGAAAAAATTTATTTATGAACGTAAATAGTATCACGAACTAAAAAATAAACATTTTTCAAAATAGTCACATTTGTCAAGTCGTGACATCAGCTTCTGGATTCCGGCACCAAATATCGCCGCCGCCTGACTGTTATACCAGCTAGTACTGGTTCTTTCAACATATCATCATTTCACACCAAGAAATTCCTCAAATTTTGGAAAAAGATGAAAGTCTCATGGTGCTAAGTCAGGGCTCTATGGTGGATGATTCACTAATTCTCAACGAAGCTGCGTCTGTGCTCTTGCGTGAGGCCGAGCGTTGCCGTGAAGCAGGATGACGTCGCTAGATAGCAGGCTTCGCTGGTGAATTTGAATAGCGTGGCTCTGCGACTCAGTAATGTATCACAGCCCCTTTCAGCATTTATAGCAGGTCAAACTTCTTCTTTCTTTCATCTTAATCTTTTATTGAATTTTGATTACATTTTCCGTCTCTTTTTGCAAGGTTTCTGTGACTCGCCGAGGATGTAGTGGTCGCTTATGGATGACACGAGGGTTCTCTAATGCCCAGATACGACAATTCTGCTTATTAACAAATCCATTCATATCGAAGTGGGCTTCATTGCTCATTTTCAGTTGTCGGTAAAAATCGTTATTTTGTCTTCTTGACTTTCTTGGTCACTAGTTCTTGTATGGCCACAAATGCAAGTCTTTTTTAAAATAATGCATAATGACGTGCGACGAATACCTAGTTCTTGAGAACGATGTCTGGTAGACGTCGCAGGGCGCTCCACCACACTTTCACGAACTGTCTCATCTTTAACTTTAAATCTTGTATCTTCCGAATCATTGCAACAATCGATTATTTAAGTAAAGCGTTTTAACAATACGGATGTGTTGTGGGATCGTGTAGCGCCCCATGATGAATTATTGGACATATGTGCTTTAAGCAACTACTACCGCAATTTAAATCAGTCGGTTAATATTGGCCACCCTGTAGTTCTATCATTGTTGTCAGATTTATTTTATTTAATATGCTACTTTATTCCATATATCCTGTGTCAGTAAGTAGTTAATCTGATTCTAATATTATACTTTACGATGATGCTTATATGAAAATTAATTGGTAATATAACTGTGTTAGTGATATATATCAGATGAGACATAAAAATAGAAAAAGGAGGAGATATAACAAAAAGACATCCTATTTTAAGAACTGTCTTCCTGGAACAAAAATAAGATAGGCGTGTGAAGTAATACGTTGTTACCAAAAATAGAAAACAATGCTGTCCTATGTTGATGAAGTAGAAAATGTCTTCGTAGCAGAGTTCACATAATTTAGGCATTTCAACCAACGTCAGCAGCTTTCCCAATTCAGGCACGGCTAGCTTAAGATGAGACAAGACAAATGACCTCATCGGGACCTCGGTTGGCCGCGTGGGTCAGAGTGTCGTGCTACTGATCAGCCAGCCGGCCGGGTCGCGAGTTCGAATCTCGCCTTCGCCATGGATGTTGTGACGTCGTCTGTTTGTACATAAATAGATATATATATATATATATATATATATAATACCAACCTAGTTTCTGGCTGCATGGCCTGGTCCTAAAGCCAAAAAAAAAAATGACCTCATCAGGGTGGTTCAACATATCAGCGAAATTTAGCGATATCGTAATAATAATAAAGTGACTTTTTTGACGATCAAATAGTTACGGAACAGCTAACAAATTAAACTATTTACAGCTGTTTTCTAACCTATTTTTTAAAGGCAGGTGCATTTTTTTGTTTGTTGGATTGCATAACTGTACGTAAAAGATCTTACATACAATGAAGTGCGGTGAAGAGGAATATCGAAATGGTCACTATAGCGCAACCTTCTTGTAATTAGATCTCTACGAGAAACATACTTGCTAGGTAGATACGAGTGTGGTCTGAAAAGTGAAGTTGGCAATACTCGTAAATAAAAGCTGGTGAATTTCATTGTTCATCTGTTGACAGTTACTCACCAAAGTTTCAGCCATTTTGGACGCGCAGTTGTTATGCAACAGTTTTTGAGTGAGATGATGTCAGAGAGAATCGAGTATCGCGCCGTCACTAAATATTTGTATCTGCAAATAAACATGAGTTGGATTCTGTGTCTGGGGACTCTGCACCATCATTTAGAGAAGAGGTTCAAGTTTTTATCGGACATACCGTTGCGCCGCCACGCCTCTAATAGAAACTAGAGGTGCCTTAACAGAATTGTACTTTTGGTATTACCCTCGTACTAATGATGCATCAAGATGTGATGCTAAGAAAGAATGATCCTTGTGGTGAAGATGTAAAGATAGTGACGCTAGTAAGCATATAAATAAGGAGAAATGAATTGCAGTAATTATGAAGTAAATTGCCGTATGTGGCATATCGCACATTACATATTTGGAGAAAATATATCTACATAGTTTCAAATCTTAAACACAGTATTTCGCATGATGTTATAGCCAACAGGCTAATGAAGAATAAGGAGAAAATAAGGAAAATCCATTTATATACAAGAACCACCAGCCAACAAGTATATATTATATGCTCAGTGTGTCTGGAGCGTATACTTCGAATATGGTTTGACTCTTGATATGTCACGATTTTTTACTGTCTTTGATATGGACTCTGAAAAAAAAATCGGGGAACAGACTTCCTGACACTCCAAATAAATTACATAAAAACATAGCTAAAAATTTTTTTTATAAATAAATTTCTAAGCGTTGAGTAAACTTATAGTCTGACGCTGTTAATGTCTTATCTGTATTTTAATTTCTTGTACTCTGCTACTAATTTAATGCATTTCTATATCTGTTGACCTGAGAGATGATATTTGTAACATCAAATGCTTGGAAATAAATTGCTTGCACCTTTTGTATTCACATTATATATTTCTATCCAATCTATTTTAAGATCTACCTGAGATACACCTTCTCACCGCTAATAAGTGCCTCTATGTCTTCTAGACTGGCCATTTATTTTCCTACGAACATCCACCCATTGGTAGAGATTGATATCGCCAGATCAGGTCAACCTTCAAACTGTGTGGTCGTTCCGTTTGTAAAAACGTACCCATTGCACGAGGGTACCACAGCGAAGTGCGACTTGCCACTTAACCAGTATGTACTTTGTCGGTTCATACGAACTTATTAACTAATTACGGTTTTCATTTTTTCTACTCAAAGGAAAACAATTCAAGAGAGATCATTTGTTTTAAATCGAACGTATATTCAAAAACAATTTTTATTTATTAACGTCAACGTCAACTACGTGGAAAATATCAGTAAAATATCTGAAGCGGTTCTGAAAATATTAATTAACTTCCATTCTTTTCCTAAAACTTCACCCCGAGTTTTTGTAAGGACAAATTTTTGGACCATAGTTTATATAGCAAACTAACATTAATTTTTCAAGTAGACTCACACCCTTAGATATTCGCATATCGTTAAGGAACACCCTGTAGAGAAGCGAATCTGGAACACACTGTATATTTGAGTACATGTGCTGAATCTGGTCCCAAAGAAGTTTTGTACATTGAGGACAAATAATAAAACAGTTATTTATGATTTCTGATTGGAAGGGTGAGAAACACACGACATTCATGATGATTCTTATTCTAAGAGACGTAACCTTGGTGTACCAGTCCATTAAAAATGCAATGGTCATGTTTTTCCATGCACATCATTACAACTGGGAAGACTTTAACGCGTACTTTGGTTCATTAGCAAATGCTGTGCGAATAGATGCAAAATTATGGAAAAAGCAATCAGACCGTACATGGCAGTGGCGACTCGTGGTATTTCGGGCAAGGGAGGCAGATGTCGCGAGCAACTTGAGACCAAGTAAATCTTTCTCATTTAACTCTTAGATTTGTTCCTGTTTTAACTGCATGTCTGTTTTTCTTTTTGTGATCTATCAGTGTGGTACGTAAGACTTAGATAACGCTTTATCATATTATTTGATACTTACTGGTAGACTGAGAAAGATATAGTCATACTTCTACCACTACTTCTGATCATACACTTCTATTGCTACAAATCGAAATCACTGAAACTTCCCCGGAGATCTATGCAAGCAGCATAGTGCGGCCTCTTAGATCTAAGATCTGAATCTGAATCTAGCGTTATCGATATTAAATGGAGTAGGAACTAATTGTTTGAGCCTGATTGGTTGACTTGATCCATTTTTTTTATATACATGTTTGTATATAGAGAACCTCTGGGGAACCGCCACTGGTACAAGCTTGGAATATAAATTTCATTGGCAAGCGCTTTTAATAATAATAGGCACATTTGCTTACGGGCAGCGTTATATATGTAACAGTTGATTATTAATTTTTCTGCGAGCAACGTCTTTCGTGTCTCCAGGGCAAAGTAAATAAAGTTTGTAATTACTAGCAAACGATTAATTATCAATTAAATGATGGTAATAAATAAAGTTTCCTATATCCTTTACTTGGCGCCACATGTTTTACATACTAAGGTGACTGAACATGTTTTCTATTATATAAACTCAAAATGTTTCCGAATAGAACCTTTGATTAACGTCTTCTACCTGAAGACAGCAAATCGATACCGTATTGTATATATTATAGAAATTGGCGTCAAGTACTTTGACTCTGCACTTACCACGCAACGTTGTCATGAGTTCATAAAGGATTACGTTCGGC